TAGCAATCATCGTCCTAAGCAGAAACTTGAAAATTTTATGTCTAGACCACTGTTATCACTAAAGGTGTATGTCTGATTCCTCCCTAGCTGACTGGAAATATGGAGACTCTCACAAGAAGGATGTTAGATTCACTTTTAGTCAGATGTTAGATTGAATCAGTATATTTCATAACTTTCATCAGGACATCCAAAAAATGAATTAAAACCAGAATGTAACATGCCCAAGTTTTTCTCATGTTGTTTAGCTCTTGAGTCATTGAAATTTGATTTTGAGCAACCCTTTGCCACTCCCCAAATGGACAGTTCCTCTTTATCTCAGGGCCTAAGAATAAAGTTAAATCTACAATGGATATGCTGCCGCCACAAAAATATCAAATGGACAAACCTGTAAAGAGTAACTTGCAAAGAACAGCACCCTGATGTTACCACTACTTTTATTAAAGCTAATTTTCAAAATATAATATCGGGAGGAAGGTAGTGTAATGCAGAGTGAATCCAAAGTCTTTCATGTGGCTACTGCTGCTGTGGTTATTTCTAGATGAGTGTAGGTTTTCCCTAACCAGAACTGGAAAGCAAGCTGGACTGGCCCTCAGGGGCATTGCCTTTTACCACTTTAGCATCCTCTCCCCATTGAATCTCACCAACTGGATACTCAGCCACAGTGTCCCCAGAAAAATGGTAAAAATGATTTCCCTTAGCCAGTCACCCTGCTTAGGATATAGCACAACCTGGGTTCTTAAGGAATAGAATTTCTCAAAACTGAAAAAAATAATTAATCCTTTAAAGTGTAGGAGGGAAATATGCTCACTTCCTGACATACAATAAACATGTAAAAAACAGTTGCTGAAGGGTGGGATGAGAGCTGAGGAAGGAAGTGGTGATGGAGGTTTGCTGCAGGAATTGGGTCAGCAAGCAGCAGAGAAAAGAGAGCCAGGAAGGCAATGGCCTAAGAAAGAAAACTGGTACCAGGGTGGTGTCCGTGGGGAGCAGTAGTACTGTGCTGAGGCCACCCCAGCAAAACTGTTGCAGCATCTTGTGGGATGCGGGACTTTCACTACCTCGCTTCCCACCCTGACACCCGACACCAGCTACACTGAAACTTCTATACACGTTGATAGATGCTCATAACAGCAAGCCTGTGGCTGTAAGGAAAGGTTACTGGTAACTTTATAAACAACATCATACATGAAACAGTTCAATTGAAATTGAGTTGTAATTGGTTACATACTGTTAACTTGGAAATTATCATAATATTTTATTTCTCAGTAAGTCCAGGTTACAGATGTTTCCCTA